ATCGATGTAACGGAGGAAGAGGTGGGGCTTGGGGCCAGTGTAGCTGCGGAAGAGGGATTGTTCCACGTATCCTACAAAGAGGCAGGCATAGCTTGGGCCCATGCGGATTCCCATGGCCACCCTCTTAGTCTGTAGGAAGTGGGATTTGTTGAAGAAGAAGTTGTTAAGGGTAAGGACGAGTTCGGTTAAGCGGATAAGTGTGTCAGTGGAGGGGGACTGGTTGGGCCTGCAGGAGGGGAAGAAGCGGAGGGCTTTTAGGCCATCTGCATGGGGAATGCAAGTATATAGGGGCTGGATGTCCGTGGTAAAGATGAGGAGTTGAGTACCAGGGAATCGGAAGTTTTGGAGGAGTTGGAGGGCGTGGGTGGTGTCCTGGACGTAGGTGGGGAGTTCCTGGACCGGGGGAGAAAATGGAGTCAAGGTAAGTGGAGATATGTCCAGTGGGGCAGGAGCAGGCGGAAATAATGGGTCAGCCGGGACAGTTAGGTTTATGGATTTTGGCAAGGAGAGAGAAATGGGCCGCGCGGGGTTGGGGAACGATAAGGTTGGAGGCTGTGGGCGGGAGGTCATCTGAGGTGATGAGGTTATAGATGGTTTGGGAGATGATGTTTTGGTGGTCAGGGGTGGGATCATGATCAAGGAGGCGGTAGGAGGAGGTGTCGGAGAGTTGGCGTCTGGCCTCGGCGATGTAGAGGTCAGTGCGCCATACTACAACTGTGCCTCCCTTGTCCGCGGGTTTTATGGTGAGGTTGGGATTGAAGTGGAGGGAGCGGAGGGCTGCACTTTCTGCGGGGGAGAGGTTGGAGTGGGTGAGAGGGGTGGAGAGGTTGAGGCGATCAATGTCGTGACGGCAGTTAGAGATGAAGAGGCCGAGGGAGGCTAGGAGGCCTTGGGGTGGTGTCCAGGAGGAGGGGGTGTGTTGGAGGCAGGAGAAGGGGTCTGTAGAGGGTGGGTTAGACTTGCGTTAAAGAAATAGGCGCGGAGGCGGAGTCAGAGGAAAAACTGTTCGACATCCAAGTGTGAACAGAATTCATAGATGTGTGGGTGGAGGGGAATGAAGGTGAGGCCTTTACTGAGGGACTGACCATTCATCCTCAGTGAGGGGGAGGTCTTGGGGGGGAATAGTGAAGACCCGACAAGGGCTTCCTGGTTCTCCTCCAGTGTCACAATGACACCACTCGCAAACTGGAGGAGCAGCAACTCATATTCTGCCTTGGGATCCCACAGCCTGATGGCTTAAATGTGGAATTCACCAGTTTTAAAATCTCATCCCGTCCCAGCCTCTTCCCATGACCAACCCTCCCCCTCATCCCCGCCTCCTTGACCTGGCACAACCTGTCCATCTTCTCTCCCACCTATCCGCCCCACCCACCTCACTGACCGATCCCCACTACTCCCTACCTGCACTCACCTATCACCATCCCACCTACCCTCCCCACACCACCCCTCCTCTCTTTATTTATTTCTGAGCTCCCTTCCCCCATCCCGATTTCTGAAGAAGGGTCCCGACCCAAAACATCAACATTCCTACTTATCTGATGCTGCCTGGCCTGCTGTGTTCCTCCAGCTCCACCCTGTGTTATCTCAGACTCCAGCATCTGCAGTTCTTACTGTCTCAGAGGTAATGTTGGAGTTGTACAGAGTGTGGGTGAGACCACAGCTGGAATACTGTGAGCAGTGCTGGTCACCTCACTACAGGAAGGTTGTGATAGCACTGGAGGGGATACAGAGGAGGTTCACCAAGATGTTGCCAGGGATGAAGAAATTGAGGTTTAAAGAGAGACTAGATTGTTTTCTTTAGAGTAGAGAAAACTGAAGGGGGACATGATTAAGGTGTATAAGATTATGAGGGCGATGGATAGGATGAGTGACGTTTTGGGTTTTACTGATTCAAACAAAATTGGTAGAAACTGCTAGTGAGGTATTTGCATCAGTATCAGAGGAGGTATCTGGGGAGAATGAAGAGGTGAAGAACTATCTTAAATGCATATGAGCTAGTGCCAGAACTGACAGACAATATTTCAGGAATCTAAGGAGGGACTCTGATCAAACATGTCTAGAGTTTGAAAAGGTCAAACAAAGTTATTTTGATAGGTGGGCAAGGGCAATAAAAATTGATCAAACATAAGATACTCTTAGAGAGATGATTATTTTGGAGGAAATCAAAAATTCACTTCCTGAGGTAGTGAGAACTCATGTGGAAGAGCAGAGAGTGAAAACTGCGAGATTAGCAGCTGAAATGACTGATAGTTATGGGTTGGTTCATTAATCAAAGTTTGGCTTCCAGCATCAATTTCAATCTGTGAGGGATAGAAACTGGGGAAAAGAGAAATCCTCAGTTGGTAAGGGAAAAGGAGATCTCATTGAAAATAGTAAAGATGGTTTACTGTGGGGTAAAAAGGAAACCCACGGGGGGAAAAGAGAAGTAAAAAAGCTCGGACGTTCTCACTGTAATAAAGTAGGCTGCATGTAGTCGCATGTGTTAGCGGTTTAGAAAAAGCACTGGGCAGATGGATGTGCGAAAAAAGGATAAGCCAGGAATATATCAAAGAACAAAGAACAAAGAAAATTACATCACAGGAACAGGCCCTTCGGCCCTCCAAGACTGCACCGATCCAGATCCTCTTTCTAAACCTGTCGCCTATTTTCCAAGACCATGTATCCCTCTGCTCCCTGCCCATTCATGTATCTGTCTAGATACATCTTAAATGATGCTATCGTGCCCGCCTCTACCACCCCCGCTGGCAACGCGTTCCAGGCACCCACCACCCTCTGCGTAAGAACTTTCCACACATATCTCCCTTAAATGTTTCCCCTCTCACCTTGAAATCATGACCCCTAGTAATTGAGTCCCCCAATCTGGGAAAAATCTTCTTGCTATCCACCCTGTCTATACCTCTCATGATTTTGTAGACCTCAATCAGGTCCCCCCTCAACCTCCGTCTTTCCAATGTAAATAATCCTAATCTACTCAACCTCTCTTCATAGCTAGCGCCCTCCATACCAGGCAACATCCTGGTGAACTTCCTCTGCACCCTCTCCAAAGCATCCACATCCTTTTGGTAATGTGGCGACCAGAACTGTACGCAGTATTCCAAATGTTGTCGAACCAAAGTCCTATACAACTGTAACATGATCTGCCAACTCTTGTACTCAATACCCCGTCCGATGAATGAAAGCGTGCCGTATGCCTTCTTGACCACTCTATCGACCTGCGTTGCCACCTTCAGGGTAAAATGGACCTGAACACCCAGATCTCTCTGTGTATCAATTTTCCCCAGGGCTTTTCCGTTTACCGTATATTGTTGAAGTGGGAAAGGAAAGCACAGTGGAAGCTAAAAAGCTGCACCAGAATATACAACCTGGTCAGGGGCTGGTTGAGAAGAAAGTGCCCGATCTCTTTAAAGAGCTTGTTTGTATGGGTACGGTTTACTCATGTACTCCTGGAGGAGTAGGTAAAGAAATTAAAATTTTAAGTAACATGAGAGCAGGTTAATAGAGATGAAATATATAATTCAGAAGGAGTATTGCCAGGAAAAGTGGGAATATGTGGAATTCATGGTGAGAACAGTTTTGTTCCGTTATATAAATTGAGGTTGGAGAGTCCGGTGAAAATTAGTGAAGTGGTGGTGGGAGTAATAGAGAAATTCTTGATTCAGGAAATACAGTTAATCCTTGAGAATGATATAGCTGGATCACAGGTGGGAGTGATGCCTACTGTGGTTGAAAGGCCAGTGGAAAATCAGGAAACTGAAGTATTACGGGAAGTATATCCGGGGATTTTTCCTGACCGTGTGGTAACAAGGTCACATGTGGAAACAGGAGGATTATTATTGCAGAGGTAAAGATTGTGTGTGTGTGTGCGTGTGTGCGTGTGTATGTATGTGTGCATGTGTGTGTGTGTGCGCGGGTGTGTGCGCGCAAGGGAGAGTTTATAACAGTAGAGGTGGATGAAACGCTCTGTGCCCATTCAGGTTCCTATTTATTACAGTTTCATGCACTTGCATGGTTTTTAATGCTTCCAGCGACTGTGGTGTCTTTCCTGGACAAGATGAATGTTTCTTGGCCAACCTTGCTAACTGTATATCATACTCTTTTAACTTGCTTAACCATTTCAGAGCATAGTTAAGACTAACTCATTGCTGTGAGTGTGAAGTCACATGCATGCCAAGCCGAATAACCACAACAGGTTTCCCTTTGTAAGAGGTATCAATGAGACAAATTATCCATGAGGAAAGGTAAAGTGCTGTGGAGGCTGGCAATTTGAAACAAAGAATAGAGAAACTCAATGGGTCTGGCAACATGTGTGGAGAGAAAGAAAAACAGAGTTAATGTTTCAAGTCCGGTAATAGCACGTTTAGTCCCCATTCACTTCAGTGAGGTGCTGCATTCCCACCCAGTGAGTTGTTTTCCCTTTATTCATTCATTCACGGGATGAGGGCATCGCTGGCCGGGCCAGCAGTTATCGCCCATCCCTAATTGCCCAGAGGGCATTTAAGAGTCAACCACATTGCTGTGGGTCTGGAGTCACGTGTAGGCCAGACCAGGTAAGGATGGCAGTTTCCTTCCCTAAAGGACGTTAGTGAGCCGAACAATGTCATCTTTAGAATCTTGATTCCAGACTTTTTTGAATATTGAATTCAAACTCCAACATCTGCCTTGGCGGGATTTGAACTCAATTCCCCAGGTTATTATCTATCTATCTGGGTCTCTGGTTGAAGAATCCGGCAATAATACCACAAGGCAATTCACTCCCCATGTCACCAGTACAGGCAGGGTTGGAGTTTGCAAATCAGAACACAGCGCAGGACAATGTAAAGGAGTTTTTTTTGTTAGGATTGGGTCTTTAAAATTATGCCCTAAATGAGATTGTGTTCATAAGTCTTAAGTTCTTAAGTCAGAAATATTTCAATCTGGACCCTTTGTAAAACATAGTCTCTTTATAGCACCAGCTGGATGATACAAGGATGAGGGTTAATACATGAAATGTTTATTAGATGTTAAAATTTGAAAATCTTTGATATGAAATTGACAGAAAATTGAATGCCACTCCTTAACTCATGTCTGAACTTACCCTGGGTCCCTGTGTAAATAAATGGGTTTATACAGGAACTTAAGATCTGAAGCATATACCCACTTTCTTCCAGGTTGAAATTGGACTCATTGTAATTGGAACCCGAGAAATAACTTACGTTTTTAATTCGGACGTAGAGAAATGTTAACAGAAATAGCAGCCATAACAGGATGAAACTGCCCGAGATACAGAAGAGCAGGATGATGGACTTTCGCCGATTGTTCACCTCCGTGTCATTCAGATTTTCCACCTGTTTGCCGACACGGAGTCTTTTGCGAATTCGAATGGCCTTTAGAATTTGTCTGACAGTCACAGCATTGAGCAGTAAGATCAAAACGAATGGGAGACAAGGGGTTGAAATGCAATGAATCCAATCATATGCAGCCCATGCAGGTGAAGTATAAAATATGGACTTAATTTTGCAATGCCATGGAATATTACCAATTGTACATAATGGTTCATATATAAAATACCAGAATGTATTTTTGAAACAGCTCATGCCAGAAAATGCCCCTATAATCACAGCTGCTGCTTTCCCTGTACAATATTTTCTCTTCAGTTTTGGGCAAGAAATGGCCACAAACCGATCAACAGTGAATACGACAGTTGCCCAGATAGAACAATCCCTGCTTCCAGCCATTAGCACAAAATTGACACTACAGACTGGGGTGACAAACATGAAGCTGAAAGGGAAATACATTCCAACAATACGGTTCAATATTACAGCTGTAATAATGGCCAGTAAGTCTGTCGCTGCCATGGATACGAGGTAGTAAGTGATGCATTTGGAGAGACCACACCTTCCTCTGGATAGGATCACAATCACTGCCAAGTTAGCTGCAATATGAAAAAGATGTACAATCCAGAGAATGATGGAAATGGAATAGTGAGTAGAACGTGAGTAGAACGATATGACTTGACTCCTCAAATAATGTTTTTCAAAATTTTGTGTGAACTTTTCAGATCTGGCATTTGATGCTGAAACCAAATCTGCACTGTATCAACAGTAATTTTTTTATTTAAAATAATCAACTAGACAAACATAGGATAGAGGATAGATATCAAAATGTTAAGTAATGTTACATTATTCATATTAAATGTGAAGATCGTGGATAAGAAAGGAAATGCATTACAGGATTTAGATAAGAAAATAACATGCTAAAAGAGCATTATTTTAGAAGCTAAAATGTAGTGACCACCATTTAAAGTCAATTGTGGCATATTCATTCTCACCCATTAAATTGTGATATTATTATCAACATTATTCAGTCTGATGAACTAAAGTCTATAACACAATGTGGGTGTGATTATGGTTTTCTGAATTTGCTTCGGTGATGTTGGTGAAGTCTCAGGAGCAATTTACTGCAGTCCTCCTGATTCCCAGCTCTAAGGCTCAGTTGTATAAATGAGCAAACAGATTATGAGATCTTGTCCAGATTGGTTAGCTTCATTTATTGGGTGACTGAGCTGTGATGCAGTTTTGTGCTAATAGTGTGGGTTCAGTTCCTGCACCGGCTGAGTTTACCATGAAGTTCTCTCCTTCTCACCCTCTCCCTTTGCCTGAGACATGGTGACCCTCAGATTAAACCAGCACCAATCATTTCTTTCAAACTAGACAGCAGCCTCATGGTCTAGGAGGACAATGGCAACTACACCTTTACCTCATTCAGATACCGACATACCATGTAAGCAGCACTGCCACTGGAGCTGCACAGGAGAATCAGGATAAGGTATTTGCTTAGTTGATCATGTAAGTTGAATTACAAGTTTTGAACATATATAGGAAAGATACCACTTAAGGATAACTCATCACAACATGTCACAAGGCCCTTTTGGCTTAGATTTCCCACTCCCAAAGCTCTCTGCAGGTACATAGTTAAGGTTACTTTATAAAATTTTCACATGCATCTGAGCAACTTACATTTTACCCTATATTTCCTATTCATTCACAGAAAGTAGGTATTATCACAGGCTGGGCCAGCATTTACTTCCTCTCCATAGTTTTCCAGAGAATTGTCCTTGAGACGTTCTCTTGTGCATCTCTGATATGCCTCCCCCCTCAGCTGACTGGATGTCAACTGTTGGGAGTTGTGTAAGATTAGCCTTTCTCCTACAGTTTCTTTACCTTTTAAGACACTATTTGAAAACACAAAGACCAATTGACCACTTTTCTTTTTCCCGACAAGTTGATCTGCACTGTATTTGATAACTCACCCATCTCTCTGCTGTTATCGACCGGACCAGTACCCCCTAAAATATTTTAAGAAGGTAGGCTAGAACCCCGACATTTTCTTATTTTAAATGTAGATGTGAAGTGCATGTTCCAGATGTGATGAGACAGGTCAAGCTACTTGAAATTAAGCAAGACATAATTTATTTAAATGCTACAGGTAAAATACAAACGTAAGAGTAAAGAATAACTTAACTTTGGAAAACTTTGACCGCATAATAGGTACAATACCCATCACTGTTTAATGGTTGCAATGTAGTGAAATCTCATAAATGTGTCTTTTGTAAAATGGAAAATTCTGACATAGATTATTACATGCAGTTCTTCAATCCAGGATGCAGAAAACATCAAAAAAAAGGTTCAGAGAGATTAGCAGCAAAGAGGCATTCACTGAAGACTGCAACTGTCTTTATACCATTTATTCTGCTGCTTAAAGCTCCAAAACAACTAGAAAGCTGGTCTAAAGCTAGCCACATTAGCTTCCATTGTTCCAACCTCAAAAAAAACACCAGACCTCTCGAGCTTTTTACTTAAACTGTCTACATTTGCTAGTTTGTTATCTTGCTGTACAACATCTCTTCAAATAAAAGGACAACATAACTTCTTAAAGTGACAATATTGTCTCACAACATTACAGGTGCACAAGTGCAAATGTTCTCTTGTAGCTGGTGGCTATCATTCACTCAGATTGGTGCATCTAAACTTGGAACAACATCTGCAGTCACACTATTAAGAATGATAAAGGAAACAACTGAAGGGAAAGCTTGACACATTAAATCAAAAAAATTGCAAACCCAAATAGGAGATATATGATTCACTGGTAGAAATACCACATTAGATGATATTTTAAAGGGAATGTTGTTAAAGGGCCTAACTTATTCTGTATGAGTCAATAAAATATTCAGTTAAAAGAGAGAAATAATATTATAGCCAAGACAATGATATAGTCGAAAGGTAGAATTGTAGCTAAAGAAATACATTAATCTGTTCAAAGCAAATATCTTTCCAGGAAAGACGCTATAATGCTGAAAGTGAAAAAGTTACACAAAACAGACTCATGATCACAGTAATTTTGTTTTGAGGCAGCTAAAATCAAAATGACTTTCAAAACATACAACAAATTCTAGTACCGTACCTGGGATTCCGATAGCTGCAAGGATGGGATAATAAACTGCAAAGAGCAGACCATCTGGTGCACCGTGCATTTTGTAAGATACACTACTCCACATTAAGTGGGTGAGACATTTATACCTGACATGAGCCTCCCAGGAGAAATGAGGTGTTTTGAGTTTGGAAATTAATTGCAAAATTGCCACAACTGAAAAGAAACTGTTTTGAAATGTCTGTGGGTTGATGTCATATACACCAAAGGTGAAATGCAAAACACACCTCTCTGATCCCAATCACATTTCCTCAGGAAAAGAATTTAGGAAAAATAGAATGGAGACATTATGTACAGCAAACACAGAAAATGTTGGAGAAACCCAGCAGGTCTGACAGCGTCTGGACAGAGAGTTAATGTTTTGAGTCTGGCATAACACTTTTTCAGAACTGAGTTCTTTGCTAAATCTGCTTTGATGAGTTACTGCAGGGCATCTGTTGGATGGTACACAATGCTGTCACACTGCATGGAGGTGCACTTAGACATGGGAGAGTTATAGAGTATTTAGATAAATAAAGTTTCTAGGTAGGAAAGGCTGAAATACTGTAATGTCAAGATTATGTGAATTCCAGAGATGAGGTGAGACTGACTACCGTTAACATCAAGGCCACATTTGACCGGGTCTGGGTTCAAGGAGGCCCAGCAAACCTGGAGTGAAGGGGATTTGGGGAGAAAGCTCTCCGCTGGTTACAATCACACTTGGTAGATAGCAAAATGTTGAGGTTGTTGTATGTCAGTCATCTCAGCTTCAGGGCATCTCTGCAGGAGTTCCTCAGGGTAGTTTCAGTACCAACCATTTTCAACTGCTTCATCAATGACCTTCCCTCCATCATAAGGTCAGCAGTGGGGATGTACACCAATGATTGCACAATGTTCAGCACTATTCGTGACTCCTCAGATATTGAAACAGTCCGTGTTCAAATGCAACAAGATCTGAACAATATCCAGGCTTACACTGACAAGTGACATTTGCACCACACCAAAGATGGGCTATGTCCATCACCAATATGAGACAATCTAACCATTACCCCTTAACGTTCAATGGCATTACCATCACTGAATCCCCCATTATTAACATCATTGAGGTTAACATTGACCAGAAACTGAACTGGACTTGCCATATAAATACATTTGTTGCTCTAGTTCGCCTGTGTGTTGTAGCTTAAGGCTGGGATCTCTTCCTGCTGCTAGAATTGCATGGGTATCTACCAATTTTAGTGAATTTGCCTTTGCCAAGTTTGTGTTTATGGGATGTTACTATATTGGAACAATTAATTAGTAGTAGTTACTGCATATTATCTTGTTAAGTAATTCAATAGAGTTACAGTTAAGCCAAATCTTTTCTTGTTTATTTTGTCTGTATTTTAACTGTAGTGTAACAAAAAAGTGTGTTTTGCTTAAATTTGAGTAGTTTGACCAATCGAAATGCATCTGGAATGCAACGCCTTACACTTACCTTTAAAATAAGAAAAAAATAGGGTCTAGGCTCGAGTCTGGAAACTTAGTATATTTTGAGGGGGTTTTGGTCTGGTACGTGACAAATTGGGGGACTCTTGTCAGGATCAATATCATCATTTCCAGTTTGGGTTTAGGATTATTGGACTCAAAGGCAGTGAGTGGTGGGTGTTTCTGTCCGCTTTCCAGGTGTTGCATTCAGTTGGTTTAAACAGGGTGTGCCTAGTGTGATAATAACTCTTTCAGTCAAACTAGCCTTGGGAGCGAAGGTAAATTGAGGCAAGAGTGAGGCCATGTTGTTTGGAAACTGGGCCAACTGTTCCTTTATCCCCTACATCATCAGGACAGATTAGTGGTGAGATTATGATTCGGAGGGTCTGAGGTGTGTGCTAAATCTTGGGAGGAGTGCATTGCCAAGCTGAGGCAGAAACTGGGCTTTCGGAGCACCGCACCCTCTGCGCTGTGGGCACAAACCTGGGCATCAGGTGTGAGGCACTCTATCTGTTGTTGTACATTGCACAAGTCTGGCCCATCCTCCAAAACTATGGTGTTTCTGTTACCTGAACATTCTTCCATTTCATCCTGAAGCCAAGATAGACAGGGTCTGCAGAGATTCCATGTACAAGACTCTGGATAAGGGGGGAAAGGACATACCCAATGTTGCCCTCTTCCTGATGGCCACTTTTGTGTGCAGCTGCATCATGCTGTGCATAGACCTTCGATATGTAAACACCAGGCATCACTACGCACCGAGGTTCTACCTGTCCCCGGTGCTGTGAAGGATGGGACTGGCCTCGCTGCCGTGGAACACTCCAAGTAGTCGGAATGTTCTGTATCATCTGTCCCTCATAGAGAAATTTGTAAAAAAAACCCACCTTTGACCACCAGCCTATCAGGAAGTGGTCAGCACGTATCATCCTCAAGACCCTGTAGGAAAAGGAGAGGGTGGATGCTGGAGCAGGGTTCCCTGAGCAGACTGTCAAAGCCATTAGGCAGAATGCCTCATCACCAGAACTTCCCAGCAAGTACCGCGACATCGCTTGGCTGGTGGTGAGAAGGGCACTACCTGTGAGATCCTTCACGTATGCCCGGTTGGTCTGTGCCATCACACGCTGCCCTCGAAGTGGCCATGGTGGGGGTTCTGGGACTGTCATGTATCTCCTTCTGGAATGTGCCTTTGCAAAAGAAAGCTGGAGAGAGATGCAGTGGTTTGCGTCGAGTTTCATCTCGAGTTGCAGGACTCTGTCCAACACGGTCTGTTTCCTGGGACACATGCAGAGACGAACATCGACTGTGTCTGGAGGATCATCAACTCAGTGCTGCTTAGTCTATCCGAAGCTTGTTGGCCTTCCAAAGAAAGGAGCTGACTCTGACTGAGTGTTGCAGACTGGCACATTCCATGGTCCAGGCCTACGTGTTGAGGAATGCACTAAAGCTTGGGGCAGCTATTGCCAAGGTACATTGCAGAAGCCCACTGTCCAAGGGCTTTCTGCTGAAGTTAAATGGGGACCCATGCAGTTATCTGATAACCCAAGGCCTCAAATGCTTGTAAATACAATCTTGTACAAGTAAGAGAAACCTTTGGTTTATTGGTTAGATAGAGTCAAACTCCAATGTTTGTTTGTTTGCTCATGACCTAATGTGCAGCACCGAACTGCTTTAGGGACTATGTATGTATATAAAGATATTTTTATGCATAGAGTATATTTTTGAAATTTAAAAAATGGCTCTTTCAGTCACCAAGTGTTTCCTGGGATGGAGGAAGTCACTTTTCGATGTTTATCGAAAGTCATCAGGGCAAAGCTCTTGGAATTGGCAAACAAGCTGAAATTGGTGTTGACTTTGTCTGAGCAAAATGGGAAGGTAATTGCAGCAATAGCTTGATATTTACAATTGCTGGAAATGCCTTCGGAATCATTGGAAAAGGCTAAAACTCAATTTCAAATGGATCAGCTTGAACACAAGATGGAAATGAAACAGTCTGAATTGCAATTGAGACCAGAAAGAAGGGAGAAAGAGAGTTTTTGAACTTCAGAGTTTGGAACTGTAAACTCAAAGTCAACATAAAACGGTGGAGGTAGAGGTGTAAGGTAGGAGGAGCGATGGGGTCTGTGATGGAGAGCAATTCCATCATAGCCAAAGGCCTGGTGGGGATCTGTTTAAATATGTCCAAGCTTTGCCAAAGTTCGAATACAAGGATGTAGAAGCCTTTTTCATTTCATTTGAGAAAGTGGTTATTCAAATGAAATGACTGGTAACCATGTTGGTTTTTTTGGTTCAAACAAAGTTGGTAGGTAGATGTATTTGCATCACTATCAGAGGAGGTATCTGGGGAGAATGAGGAGATGAAACAAGCCATCTTAAGTACAAATGACCTTGTACCAGAACCCTACAGACAACGTTTCAGGAATCTAAGGAGGGAACCTGGTCAAACATACATAGAGTTTGAAAGGATCAAACAAAGTAATTATAATAGGTGGATAAGGGCATTAAAAATAGATCAAACATACGAAGCTCTTGAAGAGACAATTATCTTGGAGGAGTTCAAAAATTCACTCCCCAAGGCAGTGAGAACTCATGTGGAAGAGCAGAGAGTGAAAACTGCAAGATGAGCAGCTGAAATGGCTGATGGTTATGGGTTGGTTCATAAATCAAAGTTTGACTTCCAGCATCAATTTCAATCTGTGAGGGAGAGAAACTGGGGAAAAGAGAAATCCTCAGGTGGCAAGGGAAAAGGAGATCCTATTGAAGATAATAAAGATAGTTTACCGTGGTGTAAAAAGGAAACCCATGGAGGGAACGAGAAATTAAAAAGCTCAGGCGTTTTCACTACGATAACATAGGCCGCATGAAATTGCAGTGTTGGTGGTTTAGAAAAAGCACTGGGCAGATGGATGCGGGAAAATAGGAGAAGCCAGGAATTTTGTTGAAGTGGTAAAGGAAAGCACCGTGGAAGCTAAAAAGCTGCAACAGAACGTACGACCTGGCCAGGGGTTGTTTGAGAAGAAAGTGCCAGATCCCTTTAAAGAATTTGTTTGCATGGGTAAGGTTACTCATGTACGCCTGGAGGAGTAAGGAAAGAAAATAAGATTTTAAGAAATAGGGAGCAAGACAATCTTTGATAGTGAGAGATAAGGAGAAATATAATTCAGAAGGAGTATTGCCGGAAAATAAAGGTGGTATTATGTGGAATTTGTGGTGGGAAGATCATTGTTCTGTTCTATAAAGTGAGGTTGCAGAGTCCAGTGAAAATTGGTGAAGTGGTGATAAGAGTAATAGAGAAATTCTTGGTTCTGGAAGTACGGTTTATCGTATTTAATGACATAGTTAGATCACAGGTTGGAATGTTGCTTACTGTGGGTGAGCGACCAGTGGAAAATCAGGCAACTGATATTACAGGAAGTATATCCTGGGATTTTTCCTGATTGTGTGGTAAAAAGGTTACAAGGCCACAGGTAGAAGCACGAGGAGAAATAAAAGAATAAAGATAAGGAAGTTGACGTTCAATTATCAGAAACTATGTTTGATGAAATGGTTGAGGAATAAACAAGAACAGGTGGAGGACAAAGTGGATATTTTTAGTTCAGAGAAATTAGCCGAAAGATGAAAAAGTAAAGCAGTTGTAGCAAAATGCATACTCAGAAGAAGAATCTGAATGTATCCCGGAATGTAACTTAAAAATAACTTCTTGATGAGGAACTGGAGACCAACACATATTCAGCCGAATGAAAAATGGGCAAAGGTTCATCAAGTTGTTTTACTGGTGGGTTATAGAAAGGAGATGTTTTGGGTAGCACGGAAATTACTACTAGGAGGTCCTTTGGGAGCAAAGTAAACTCAAGCCAAAATACAAAAACATTTTTATTGGCCTGGACTGTATAAGGATGTGCTTCAATTTTGCCTGACACATCATACGTGTCAAGTAATTGAAAAACCTCAGGCAGTGATAAAACCAGCACCTTTAACACCCATTCCTGCATTTGAGGAACATTTTACAAGGGTCTTAATTGATTGCTTAGGACCCCTAAATAAAACAAAATATAGGAATTTGTTGACCATAATGGAAGTGTCTACTATATTTCCAGAGACCATTCCATTACAGAGTATCATAGCTAAAAGGGTCGTAGAAGACTTACTCAAATTTTTTACTAGGTATAGACTACCCACAGAGATGCAATTTGATTGAGGGTCAAATTTTACATTAAAAATGCCGGGTTGCCTCCCACAGTCCAAAGATGTGGCAGTTAGGTGGATTGGCCATGCTAAATTACCTATAATGTTCATGAATTTGTAGGTTGGGTGTATTACTAATGGGGAATGCAGTGTTACAGATATAGGGCAGGAGTGGGGCTTTGGGTCTGTTTGGGATGCTCTTCAGAGGGTCAATGTGGACTTGGGCTGAATGGCCTGTTTCCACACTGTATGGATTCTATGATTAGAATGGTGGAATTAAATATTAAAGACCATATTGGGGCCTTTATAGCCAAGAGTATCCTGATGATTGGGATAAAGGAATTCAATTTGTACAATTTGCAATTAGGGATGCATCTAATGATTCTACCAAATTCAGTCCATTTGAATTAGTTTTTGGTCATTAGGTGAGAAGACTACTGAAATTAATTAAGGAGACCTTGGTGAGTCAGAGTTCAGACACCACATATTTGGACTATGTGTCTCATTTTAGGGAAAGATTAAATAGGGTGGGTGACTTGGCTTGACAGCATTTCACAGTTGCACAGCATGTGATGAAACAGGAAGCAGACAAGCAATCAAAAATTTAAAATTTTGCTCATGGAGATAAAGTGTTTGTGTTACTTCCAGTGATAAGTGAAACTTTAAAAGTAAAGTTTAGTAGAATTTATCAAATCAAAAGAAAATTGATTGAGGTGAATTATTCAATAAGAATGCCACATAGAAAGAAATCTCACAGAGTGTGTCAAGTGATGATGCTCAAAAGGTATTTTGACAGGGAAGGGAAGCAAAAGGAGAATGTGTTATTGGTTACAACACAGAGTGAAGAACCAAGTTCAGAGGATTTTGAATTGGACATTCCTCAAATTAAAACCAAAAGAACTGCGGATGCTGTAAATCAGGAACAAAAACAAAGTTGCTGGAAAAGCTCAGCAGGTCTGGCAGCATCTGTGGAGGAGAAAACAGAGTTAACATTTCGGGCCCTGTGACCCTTCCTCAGAACTGATGGTGGCTGGGAAAACATCAGTTTATATGCAGAGAATAAGGAGGTGGGTGGGGTAGGGAGTAAACGATACGATAGGGCCCAAAGAGAGAGAAAGACAGTTGGACAGACAAAGGAGTTGCTAACGATCAGGCTGGGAGGGTGAATAGTTGTTAATGAAGACTGTTAGTGACTAACAACAGGGGGTGTGTAATGGCAGGCTATGTGGTACAACCACTGTTGAAATGGTCTGTAACACTGAAGGCTTGCATGCTTAGAGTTAATATAATGTATATGTATTGTAATGTGCTGGTAGCATAAGGCAAAAACATTTTTTAAAGATTAAGCCATCTTTGTATATTGATGGTTCTTTTCTTTAAGGGGAGAGGGATGACAATATTATGGCTTTAAACAATGTATTTTATCCTTTTTTTATGAAGAAAGGTTAAGACATAGGAGGTGAGCAGTCTACTTCAAAGCCAATAAAGTAAACAGCTAGTGATGCCTTGGGATTTATTTAAAGTTGGAACAATAGAAGCAGCCTGAATGGGTGGGGTCAAGCTCTGA